TTGTGAAACCATACCCCCATGCCTGGTGTGGGGCGTTGAAGTCCCCTGCTTTGATGAGCGGGGCGCTGCCAGCTAATATCACGGCCTGCCTAAATAGAGAGTGAAATTGCTGTCTGTGATTTGACGGACTGCTACATCCTTCAAAAATAAATGTGCTGCTCTCTTTTGTTTTCCTAGATAGAAGTTCCATCATCATATGGTTGTATCCACATTCTATATTACGGGTTCTTACCGTAATCTCTTTTTGTACTAGTGTAGTGAGAGCTTTATTTCCTTCTTCACGCTCGGGATTTACTGACTGGAATCCTGGTAGCGTGGCGAGACCACGCGTTTGTTGAAGTAAAATAACATCTGGCTTGTTACCTTGTCGGATGTACTGCTGGTTGACAGATTTCTTAGTCCTGAATCCTCCACAGTTCCCCTGCCGTATGCGGAGTTGTCTTTTACCACGCCTCACCATCGCCGTTCGTTATTCGTGTGGGAGGCGTGAAAATAGGTGGGCCGATGAGAGGGGTTGGTGGCTTTGTGGGAGTTTGCTGCAGGGGATATGGTGCGTGCGGTTGTTGGTGAACGTTCCCGACTGCGCCCTGAAGGTCTGCGGATGTTTTTGCATTGCGTCCTCGTTCCAGCGTTTCTACCCTGGCTGCTAGTGCCATCAGATCAACAGACGTCTTAGTGTAGGTTTCCAGGATCGATTGAAACGAAGTTAATGGCCGGTCTACTGTTTTCTCAATGTTATCTAACCTTGTTTGTTGTGAGATGCTTTCTTGTTTAGTGCTTGGGGGACCTGTAGTTTTCTGCGTTTTGGCCTTTCGTTTTAACGGATGGGTAGTTATCTCCATGCGATCGTCGGCTGTGGGTGCTTCTTCCTACATTACAGTATTAGTTATATTAGGGCTTATGGGTTTGCCGCATTCGCGTTCTATAGTGAGGAGTTCTGTTTGAGCTTGCATCTGATCTATCATTTCGTTCATGCGTCTGTTTTCACCTTTAAGCCGCTCGAGCTCTTGACTGTTGTTGTTATTGCTACCGTTGTTATTTTCAATCTCCTGAGGTCTCTCCGGTTGCAAACCGCGTACTCTGTCTGCCCAGCTCACCTTGTTTGTTGGTTTCTTAGACGCCGATCCCGACCTGGAACTGGGATGGGAGCTTGCAGGGCTGCGGTGCCTTGAACTGGAGCGGGATCTTCTTTGTTGTCGTTTTCCGGGTCTCGATGTAGAGCGCTCTCGTAGACGTCCTCTTGGTGGAAATAAGCTTTGTCTTTGCTGTTCTCGTAGTCTGTCGCATTGTCTCTGTTTTACAATGTAAAGTTTCTTGAACCTGACCGTGAAGCTTTTATCGGCTGTAACGCGGTCTTTTTCACAGATTTGACAGCTAGGGTCGCATCTGTGGTCGTCTTTGAGGTTGGGAATACCGCAACCAGCACAAAGTTTACTTGAGGGGTGTGGCACACGTCACTTCTATGTCCCAGTCTGTTTCACTGCTTGCAGTAGTCAATTTGCTTGCGGTATAGCGTGCACGGTATTATTACTCCATCATAGCACACACTGGAGGGTACCTTGTTTCCACTGAAGAGCACAACGACCGTTGTAGTATTCCCCAGTCGTTTAGCAGTGATGATGCTGTGGTTTCTTTCATTGACAAGGGCCGCCCTAATGCTACCGGGAGTTTCTTCCAGTGGGATTTCTTTAACAATACCCTTGGCTGTATCTTCTGGTGCTGTTTTATACGCTGCCACTTCATATTGTTTGCCTAGTATAAGTATTTTTTTGTATTTTCTGTACTGGTCAGCTCGGTCGGAGCCTGGGGTGCTCACTATCATGATGTTTTGTGTCTTGTTAGGGCATATCACGTTGAAGTGCCGGACTTCCGGTGGTGTAGCCACGGCTTCATGTATGCCTCTGGTTATATCGGTTGGGCCGAGTGCGGCTACGCGTAGGCCTCCTTTCGGTCGGATGAATATTTTGCAGTCTCCCGCCGGCAGCTTGGGCATTCTGCTCACTTTTTCGATGCGGTTCACCGTCTTTCCTGCGTTTTAGCTTGCGTGTTACCAAAGCCGGGTTCTACCTTGTTGTTAGCACCATGGCAGCCACCAGCATCCCTGACCGATTCAGGTCCTGGCTTTCGACGACGTCCGTAGTGGACGGTGTGCCAGCCTTCTTCACTCTCGGTAGTGTCTGGCGATTCATTACCATCGTGTTGTACATCCATCGTCCTCGAATCGGCATCAGTGTCTTGCGCGTTGCCTGCCGACGCGGTGGATTCTATTGGGTTTACAGCGTCGGCTCCCTGAGGAAACCGGCCTGTTTCGCGAGGCATAATGGCGTTTCGTGTGGTGTGCACCGAGAAAAGGCCGTAAAAAGACGAAAAACAGTTGGCCCACCTTGTCTTTGGTATCCTGAGAATCTGGATGACGAGGTCGATCCTCTGATATCACTCTGAGAAATGCGCGTGCTGATTTTCACTGCGAAGTTGTTCATAAAAACAGGAGCCGATGTGAAGCGCGTCTGCACTCGTCGGCGCTCGCAGCGTCTCCCCGCGGACTACATAAAAAAAATTTATTTTATAAAACAAACACATCTACATTTCTAGAGGGAAGAGCTTCAAGTACACGCCCTGTATTTCCAGCTTTGTGGAATCGAGAACCAAATACTACAATTATGTTGTCATAAATTGATGTAGTGTGTGTGCACAAAATTCACGAAATGGCGGAAGCAGCAAGGCAAAGCTACAATATGATTGGCGCATGCAGGCACGAGTGTGTGTGTGTGTAAGTACGTCCTACGTACTCACTGTTTCGAACATTTAATTATTTGCAAAGTCATTTATTGTAGGGTAGACAAATGGAAATGCTTACGTTTGACTCTTACAATTTGAGATCAGCATGCTGAGTGGCACGAAAATACTGTAAAGGAATCTTTTTAAAATTCGGCAGACCCCACGTACCTGGGAATCGTCGTTATGTGAAGCATGCGGAGGAAAGGTGACCGTGTTGCAATTTTTTATACACCGACACGTCATGAAATTGCGCTAAATATATGTACACAAATGTTGCACGCAGAGACATATGTTGAAGAGTTGCAGATGTTTATATAACCAGCTGTTCGCACTTGTGCAACAATGCCAACTGCAACGCGTATTAGCAACACCAGAAGCTGATATGAAGCGCTGATGCACGCGAGGATGCTGGCCCTGGACACGGCTACATAAATCAACTTCAGCGCATGGCACCTCACCATAATTTATGTTAACCCGACGTGACGGCTGTATCAAAGTAGTACGTATGTAATGTTCATAAAATTGGGTAGACAGCACTGCAACCACTATTGATGTTTTACGAAGATTAGCGTCTATTTGAAAAGCAGTTCCGAGACCTGGCGTAGCTCTGAGGTAAAGTGCTTCATTGCCCCGCAGAATGCTTGCCCCAGCTGGGACCCTGACACTTATTCTTTGCATTCGTTGGGTCGACGCTACCGTTGTCGGGTATTGCATAACGCTCGCGAGTTAAAATTGCCCATGTGTGTTCTCGTCATTCTTGAGTAGATACTAAGTGTTAATCACCTGTGGCACATACCCGCATACCAGCGGTATATACCCGCCCGTGGGCATGTTCTACTATCTGGCGGGAAGTGTTTGCGACGTCCGCGACGGGATTGCCACATTATTCATGTCTTGATCAGCGCGTCATCGTCGTCAAACCATCCTACCCTCCTATGCTAATTTTCGTTCCCGCCAAGTTAAGGGAGTGACCACGAGAGCCTCCAGACGTAGGTGGATATAGATAGATAGATAGATAGATAGATAGATAGATAGATAGATAGATAGATAGATAGATAGATAGATAGATAGATAGATAGATAGATAGATAGATAGATAGATAGATAGATAGATAGATAGATAGATAGATAGATAGATAGATAGATAGATAGATAGATAGATAGATAGATAGATAGATAGATAGATAGATAGATAGATAGATAGATAGATAGATAGATAGATAGATAGATAGATAGATAGATAGATAGATAGATAGATAGATAGATAGATAGATAGATAGATAGATAGATAGATAGATAGATAGATAGATAGATAGATAGATAGATAGATAGATAGATAGATAGATAGATCACCTAACTCCTTAACTTGGGTAAACCAAAAGTGGTATGGGAGGGCACGATGTTTTGATGAATACGACTCACTGGTCCTGACATGAATAATTTCACAATGCCACCGCGCCCGTCGTAAAACACCTTCCGCCAGACAGAGGCACATACCCATGGGCGTCTCTTGCTGGTATGCGGTGATGTTTCACAAGTGATTGACACTTTATATTTACCCAGGATCGGAGAGAACGCGCCGGGAAATTTTAACGGAGAGTTTAAAAAAAAAGCTGACGTCGCCAGCGTTGACCCTATGAATGCAAAGAACAATTGTCAGGCTCTCAGCTGGAATCGCACCCCAGCATTCTGAGAGGCAACCAAGTATTCTACCACAGAGCCACTCCAGGGCTAGGAACTATGTTCATATAGAGCCTAATGTTCGTGAAACATCAATTTCGGTTGCAGGGCTCACTATCCAACTTTATAAACATTACATATGTACTCTCATGATACAGCCGTCCTGCAAAGTTAACGTGTATTGTGGTTAGGTGTCATTAGCTGAAGTTCATTCATGTGGCATTGTCCAGGTCAACCATCCTCGCGAGCATCAGCGTTTTATATCAGCCCACCTTTTCTTGTGTTCCTAATGTCCATGTTGCTGTTGTCATCGTTGCGCAACTGTAAACAACTAGTTATATAAAACATATGCGGTTGTTTAACTTATGTCTGTGCGTGCATTTGTACATATCTTGAGCGCGATTTCATAACATTTCACCCAATAAAAAGTTACAACACAGTCACAATCCATGCCCATGCTTCGCATAACATCGATTCCCAGGGTAAGTGGGATCTGCCAAATTTTTTAATGAATTTTTTTTGAGAATGTATATATATACTTACGAGAGTCCCTGATGGGCCTCAGTTCACTGAGCAGTGCGATTGGCAGCATAAGGAGAAACGAGACGGTCCATACTGTTGCGACGGTGCGTTGCGCATGCCGAGGTGTTTGCCACGATCGTGAGCGCAGTGGCTCACAGATGGCGTAGTAGCGTTCCACTGACATGGCCACCAGGGTCCAATCAGAAACGCACACCGACACCGCTGCGTATTTATAAGTGCACTGGTCGCTACAAAGCACAAAAAAATGAATCGGCAGCACTCCTGAGGCCGCTGCTATGCGTATACAACCAATGATCGAGAAGTAAGTCTAAATAGAGGGTTCTATATTCGCGGACAACTTTTCTTGGCAATGAAGGGAAAGAAGCCATCGTGAGAGCGCAACTAAACACAACACACAAGGAGAAACACATGAGGACAGGCATATGTCCTCATCTGTTTGTTCTTCCGTGTTGTGTTTAGTTGCGCTCTCATGATGGTTTCTATGTCAAAGCACCAAATCACCCAACAGTGAGATCTTGTGAAGGGAAAACTGCGGGGGCGGAAGCCTCTACACATGCACCACTACGCAAAGTAGTCCAGTATGTCATGCGTGCCATACTGCTGTGGAAAGTGATGGCTGTCTGCTATGAGCGTTTCATATCAATGCAGACGCGGCTTGGCATTCCAAGTACACATAAAAGAGGCAACTTTCTCCCACGTTCAAATCTGCCTGCTTGCCTGCCTGCCTGCCCGCCCACCCGCCCGCCCACTCGCCTGCCTGCCTGCCTGCCTGCCTGCCTGCCTGCCTGCCTGCCTGCCTGCCTGCCTGCCTGCCTGCCTGTCTGTCTGTCTGTCTGTCTGTCTGTCTGTCTGTCTGTCTGTCTGTCTGTCTGTCTGTCTGTCTGTCTGTCTGTCGACGGACAACAGCCACTGCGGCCCTCCGCGCCCACCACTCCCTCCGCTTCGTCCATGCCCCACCAAAGATCCGACACGTATGGTGACGATCCAGGAGAATGAGAGGGGCACTCGTTCTCCGCGCACAAAGCACAGCCTGTGCAGCAGCCGATTGGAGAGTAGCGGTACAGCGTCATTTAGAATATCCTCACTCAACTGCAGTTTTTGCATACTTCTATGAAACAGCACCATCTATTGTACTGTTCGGGAGATACTGCTGGTTACACCTGACGCGTGACACGAGCGTCGTTCCTAAAATGAAGGCAGTATTTTTCCTAACTCACGTTGAAAGTAAGGACGCAAAAGTAGGACTACATTAATTAGCGGTAGGATGCGCGCTTTTTGGCTTCGTATCCTTCGCTGCATTGCCAAGAAAAGCTGTCCGCGAGTGCAGTACCGAAGACCCCAAGTGGTTTGAGTACGTACGTCCTTCCATTCCTTTGCACTTCCAGCCATCCCCAGGGAGAACACAAATCAATGGATTGACTTGCATATCTAAGCCGCTTTGGGGCACCATATATAAAACTTTAAAACTCTCTGAATGATTAAGAGGAAGACTATCAGCACATAAACGTCCATTTATATATTTTTACTCGGAAAGAACTACATCTAAACACGCAATCGATAAACGCTACTCTTAACAGTGGTTACGCGGGCTGCTAGATTAAGAAATTGTACTGTAAATATCAAGGATAGCCTTGGCGATCAGTTTTTACATTTTTTTTTCATTCACAATATCTCGTTTTCTTACTTTCTAGAGTGAAGAATGACCTATAGCGACCCAAATATAGTTCCCGAGTGATCGTGTTCATAGGAAAGATTGTTTATGGTACCATCAAGTCATATTAAGGAAGGGATACCTGCATTTTAAAATCGTTGAATAAAGTTTCATATCTGACAGCGAGGCAGTGTTCAAATGCAACAAGCGCGCTCTAAGCTTCAATTATGGTCTGATTTTCCTGTGAACTGCTGTAGTTCCGATTAAAAAAGCACATTGTGAGCGCTGACTCTGTAGGTCGTTGTCTTGATGTACGCATGCCTTTCATCGTAAATATAAACAGTTTGTTCGTTGGTTGTTCTGCCTCTGGCTTGCGCAGCTATGCTTGGATATAAATATTTCCCCATTAAAGCGTATGTCGTATTTCAATATTTGTATTAAATCCTGACTAATAACGAGAACGCATGAAAATAAAAGACATCACAAAATGGCTAAGTATTTGTGCGTGTAGAGTAGTCGCAATGTTTGGTATATAGACCCATATGTTGAAAAAGCCAAACCTAAGCAAGGATGATACATGCTCAAAAAAGTGTTAATGTATTGCTTGCCTATCAGTATTGCAACGGCGCGAAGCGAATTACAGTGGGACATAGGCTTAGAAAAAAAAAAAGAGGTCGAGCAAGAATATCACGTAGAGCAAAGGCCCCCAGAATCACGAAGCTATAGATATAGTGTTTGGAATGAGTGAAATTTGGCTTAAAGTATTTGTATCATGATATTGCTTCGTTATATAACGGGGTTAGTTTGTTCATTCTGAGACAGAATAAAACAACATGGCTTATAAGGAAATGGAAATGACCGCACTACACAGACAATCGAAGACAATTTTCCGTTCTTGTTGCTTTGCACTTGGGCAAGTTCTTCAAACGACTAGCTATATCGTGCCATCTTTCTTGTTTGCCACTGGTTTTATCAGTGTTACTAACTACTTAATACAACAAAATGTATACATTAAAACGACGTACCCCTGTGAGTGAAGTTGTGTGTGTTAACACATTGTTTTTTTATATAAAACGTTACTATTCCTTTCAGTACCTAGATGTGAAATCATCTGTGAATCAAGTAGTCAAACTATGCTAAGCAATGATTGATAATCGAGATGGTCATATGTCTTGCTATGGCTTTGGTTTCACTAATGAAGGTAAACTTTAATGTTTCAATTTTTTGTATTCTATTTCTCGTTACTGATTATCTTGACCATGACTCCAACATCTTTCTAATGTTCATTTAGTTTGACTGTTATAATTGGAAACGCATGAGTTTCACACTTACCCTGCAGATAAGGTATGAGGTTGCACAAGAGCTGTCCAAAGACGAACTCGCGCAGAAGGACTCCAGCGAGAGTGAAGGGCATGCAGAACACGCCGAGGAGCAGGTCGCTCACGGCGAGGTTGAGAAGGAACAAGTTGGTCACTGTGCGCATGCGCTGGTTGACAGCCAGTGTCAGAATCACCAGGCCGTTGCCCAGTACGGCAAGGAGCAGTATGATGGCATACGGAGCAACCAGCACCGCCTCCTCCGTGTGCCACCAGGGGGCGGCCGCCGGCTGCACCGAAACACCACGATTTCTCTTTGCTCATGTGCGAAAACCGTTGAGGTAAAAGAGAGATCAAAGCACTTGAAAGGCACAGCAAAAGATTTATCCTACGTCAGCTACTGCGGATATAAATTAGATGAAATGGAAAGCTTTATTCATTGGTTCAGACTACGCGCTGCCAACGCAAAACATCCTTCACACAGAATTGGCTATGCAGAAACTTCCGACGTGAACTTATATTAACTCAATTAACATTACATCCCTCATAATAAGATCTGATAAATTTTCCGTCATACCAGCCTTGCAAAATTGCGATTAAAAGGCATTATAGAGCGTTCTTGAAGGCCATGGCATTTTTTTTTACCTCTAATAACACTTTTGCTGTTCTTTTTGTTTTGTTTTGCAGCGTATACAATCGTACCTTGCGATGGTGTTCTGTTGAGTGTTTTGTTTGTCGTCGTGTGATAATGTAACTGTATTTTTTGTGTGCCACCGCTTACTTGAGAGCCTCTTGTCAAATCATGTGATTTGGGCGAAAGCCTACTATTAGTGTCAGTTAACAGGCGAACATTGGGTATCGATATGAAGACCACACTGAAATAGCCAAATTGAATGGCTTTCACCTTCGAGCTCTCTTTTAATTAAGCGAAATCATGAGACACCTTGGGAGGCTTTTGCATTTTTTATGATTTCTCCTTCATTTCCATAACTACATGAACAAAGCAAGCTATACAATCAAATCAAAACCTTCGTCACTGACAGAACGGCGAACATATAAATAGAAATTTTATCCGATGAAACACAAACATAGGCAGCCCAAGGGACACCGCAGGGATCGGTGGTATTTCCTACGCTCTTTAACATTCCAATGATCGGGCTGCCTCGCCCTCTCTTACGAAGCGTCCTTGCGTTTGACTTGTATGCGATGCAACACTGCGTTGGATAAGCGCCACATGCCTTTAAATGTCCTGATTTTGCAGGAGGGGGGGGGGGGGACTGTTTCTTGACGAATTATTTAAAATGAAGCATGCTGCGTGTTCCGCCTACTCGAGGGGTAAAAAATTATCTGCCAAATCTGCTTGTCCTTTAAGAAGTCGGGGTATTTTGTGTCAGTTACAACTACAACTTACAAGCACTGCTCTATAGTTTACCATCCATTCAAAACAATATACGTGTATTACCTGCAGCTTTTTTCAGCTTAAGGTAATCGAGCAGTATACGTTTACTGCCTGCTGATACAAAAACAATAGGTAATGATTAAATTCCCGCAAATAACACTAGTCTTTTCGAATTTTAAGAGGTTCTAAATCTGGGAGGAACACTAAAGACGTATAGTTCTGTAAGTTTCATTGCACAGAAGAATAATAGGGGTCTGTAACTCTGCACGTTCAGACTGGTTCAGAATGCTCTGAAGTAGAACTGACGGTAAGATGAAACATACTTTTATTTTGCAACAAGCTTACTGTCTACAATTCTTGCTTATGCCTTTTTTATAAAGCTAAATTTGATGGGTAGACTTTTTCATTGCTGCCGTATCACCGCGAGGGAAAATTTACATGTTGGGTAATCGCCTTCTGAACGTACTAGAACGGACTAGACACCACAGACACACTGCGCTTTGTGGTGTCTCTAGTCCGTCCTGCTATACGTTCAAAGTGACATTACTTATGAAGATAGATGCGCAACCAACTAACCCCTACAGCTGCTCTTATTGGAAGATGACGGAAGTGGATAAACATTACCTTCTGATTCTTGAAGGTGAACGAATACGATCAAAGCGACTGCATAAAACGAAACAAAAGAGGCTCGATTATCAGACAGTGGTTCATATAGATGCAAAATATATAAATTCTTCGCATTCTTTCCAAGGGTTGTGGGTAAATGTTTAGTCAAGTGTTAATTTCGACATAGCAGGTACACACAGACAGCAAAATTATCAGCGTTGTAGAGCGCATGTGCAAAGTTGTTGATTGAAATGAAATCCTCAATTCGTATCACTGCGTATCTCTGTGTCAGGAAAAGGGCCGCAGTGGTAAGCACAAATGCACCGAAAATTACCGATAAATTTCACCTTTCATAGTGGCCAGCTGAACAACCTGAACGCAAGGTATGCAAGCTATGAACAAGCTAGCAAGAGGTGTTCAAGGTGTCGAAGATTGTGTATCGGCTGCGTAAAAACTATGCTGATGAGGACGATATGTGAGGCTTAACGTCCCAAAATTACCATATGATTATGAGAGATGCCGTAGTGGAGGGCTTCGGAAATTTCGACCACCTGGGGTTCTTTAACGTGCACCCAAATCTGAGCACGCGCACCTACGTAAAAACTATGCTGCGGCGCGTATTTTCGTTTTCTTAAGTGTTCGTGTAAGAGAGGCTCACGCAAAAGTAGTGTATTAACCCATGAAAAAAATCAATACGCCAAATCATTCAGTATGCAAGAACATGGCGTTAAAAAGAGATTTAAAAACATCTTAGATTTCTATTGAAACAAACAAAATTTAAGCAGAGTCAAAATACTTTTTTTTCCAATAATTAATGAAAAAAGGGAATGATCAGAGACGTGGCACCTATTCAATGCATACCTGAGTGTCAAGTAGTCTACATTCAAGCCTTTTTGTTTTCTGTTTGTATAACACAACGTGCAAGATGCACTATCAACATGCACTATTTACATACACACAGTTACGCTTTGGATTGCATTAGAGTGGATGATATCTTATTGATCGAGTTTTGTTTTCGTTAAAACGAAGGGGATACATGCCTTCTCGTTGCTTGAAGAGTTATTCCCGAAGGAATAATTGTGCGATTCCATTGCTTCCGTTGATCGGTCCAGTACAGCACTTTACTTCATTTCGTTGCTTAAATATAGAGCAAGAGTAATGCTGATGCCTAATTTTTCACATTGTGGTGAAGCACCAGTTCTGGAAAGAGAGGCAAATATATAATACTATAATCAATTTCTATCCATAATGACGTTCTTTTTGACTAATGCATAAAAGGTCTACGCCTGCACGAGCAATTTTTTTCCAGTTGTTTTGAAAAAGAAAAGCTTCCACTGATCAATCTTGACATTTGAAAACTCAGCATCATTCTTCACCTCTTTTAATACACTGCAGGGCGAAGGCCTCTCCCAAAGATTCAACGATCTTCAGTTTACTTTATCCTGTGCGAGTTGATTTAATTTCGCGCAGAAACAAAACCAGAAGTGGAGAGCATTCACATTTAAATGCATCATGGTACTTGTTTCTGGCTGGAGCATTTTCCAATACAGTTTTCAATGCTTGTTGTAGCAAAAAAAAAAGTTTAATGAAGTCTCCGTACAAACTTAATGCTCCAGTGGCAATACAAACAACAACACTGCAATACCAAACAGTGCAATGCCTCTGATACACGGGCAAATGTAGAGTACTTTGCAGTAAACTCCTCTTTCTTTTTTTTTTTCTCTGAAGGAGCATTTGAAGAAAGAAGTTGCACTGATGACACACAAGTTCTTCAAGTGGTTTGAGGCTTCCATGACTATAGCTCTGGTTCCTCAGGTGAAAGACGGGAAGTAATGACACTTCTCATTAAACTAGAAGGAGAAGAAACATTTTTTTAATGTTATGGCAGCATCGCACTTTAGATAATATACTAAACCTGAAAGAAAAACCGATCACGGTGTGTTTCTTTATTTGATTTGGTTTCTCTATAGCATGGCACGTACTCACTCTGGGAGATTGGACCAGAAAGCGTAGCGTAATTGTTCTATGAACACTACAGCAATCCTTATGGATGAGTTTATGTCATAAGTACTTTTTAAATGCAAATAGGTGAGAGAAAACACAACGTGAAAGAGAGACACGGATGTCAAAAGAGAAAAAAACAAAAAAGAGAAGTTCTGTGATTTTGAGCTCACCAGACAGATGCACTTACTTCACCCAATCATTCAGAGCCTATGTATTGAAACGCTTAATATTGTTGCACAACATCATTTATTAGAGTGAAAATTTTTTCTTGGATACGTTCGGCACTTGAATATAATCACAAACCGCATTGAATGCGTCCCTGTGACAATGTTCCAAAACAGGGGCACCAATGTTTAGCACATCTTCTATTGTCAACCTAATACCTATCTTCAAAAAGCGAATAACTAGAAGCCTTTTTCAAGGTAAAGAGTATCGGCGACATAATAGAAAACGAAGTTTGACGGTTTCTATTTTTTCACAAAATCCACGCAGGGGTGACTTGACCAGCTTTCTTTTTTCTTCTCCCCATTTCTCGCATGAATTTTTTTACCTGTTGATTGCTATTTTGGTCTTTTTTCTGTTTTTATCTATTTCCCATTTTTTCTGTTTGTTCCTTTTCTTCTATCGCTCTTTGCCTTTCTCTTTGACTCTCCTTATTTTTCTTTCTCTTTTGCTCTCTGTTTTTTTTTTTTTCTGGCCCTTTAAGTGTCTTCAGTACTTTTCTCTTTACGCGTTTGTCAGAACTTCTGTCCTCTTTTAGCTCTCTCTCTCTCTCTCCACTTCTTTCTTTCTCTGTCTCTTTCTTTTTAGAAATTGCTCTCTAATTTTTATCTAAATTTCTTGTTCTTTTTCTTTCTTTCTCTATTTTATCTTCTTAGGTATTTATTTGCTTTGCATCTCTGCATTTTTCTTTTTCTCTGTCTCTCTATTTTCTCTTTCCTTTTAATTATTTCTTCCACCAGCTCTAGTTTGCCGAGAAGAGTTTTGGTTTAACGCTCCTACATGCTTCACTCGGTATGGTGGGTCTTGCTCAATTCCTGGAGCACATACCCACCTGTGATTTTCTGCAGACATCAAGTTTTACGGCTGGATTAAACTGCTCCACTGTTAAACACCAAGCTGTTTAATGAAGCTTTTGTTGACGGCCCCCATTGTGCTGACTCGGATGGACCACACTATCGAGAAAGCGAGTTACACTGGCAAAATGCAACCTAGTGGCGCTAGCGACATGATGCCGACGTGCAAAGGGTTACATCAATGCCGAAGCATTTCCGGATGCGTCACACGTTTTCAAAACAGTTGAAAGAGTATTGTGGAGACAGTGGGGAGCCTTTATTGAAAGGCTGCATTGTTGAGATGTGCCTCCTGTATACGAGAGAACACCCCTAAATTCGAAAAATAGATGTAGGAGCTGTTTTCTTGTCCTGAAACCTTGCTTGTAGAGAGATACAGTTTTGTCGTATGTCATTGTACATGAAGGCCTTTCCGGGTGATGCCCCTTACCCAAAAGACTTTAAAGCACTCATGATTCAGAGGTACAATACCTAATAAAGCAGAAGTTCAGGGAAGATGGACGAGCGATAAGAAAACTGTAGGGACTCTCCTGAAAATTTAAACCTTTCTGCATCTCTTAAGAGTCACATCATTATTATTTGGTGGTATCCTAATGAAAGATCAGGGTTGGCGTTAATGTTTCTGTTTATTTGTACAATATGTACAAATACATGCATATTTAAGCACACAAAAGAAGTTACTATAGTAAGAAGCTCAAAGAGAGCAGAATGAAAAGAAATGAGCTAGTCAAAATAGAGTCCAACATTGACAGGGTATTAGTATATGCATGTATCGGGGACGCTTGTATAAAGACTTTACTGACCCTTAACGTGGCCGGATCTGCGCTTTTTCCGGCGTATCTACAAGGCTACAAACTCTTTCAGTTGGAGACACGCATGACTTTGTGCACCGCAACAATATTTTTGGCATGCTATATGCACCCACTGTTGCAGCAAATTGATTGATTGATTGATTAATTAAATAATTGATTGATTGATTTATTGATTGATCAATTGATTGATTGACTGATTGATTGATTGATTGATTGATTGATTGATTGATTGATTGATGTGCTGGGTTTAACGTCCCAAAACCACCATATGAGAGACGCCGTAGTGGAGGGCTCCGGAAATTTCGACCACCTGGGTTTTTTTAACATGCACCCAAATCTGAGCACACGGGCCTACAACATTTCCGCCGCCATTGGAAATGCAGCCGCCGCAGCCGGTATTTGATCCTGCGACCTGCGGGTCAGCAGCAAAGTACTTTAGCCACTAGACTGTTGCAGCAAACAAGTCCACGTACAAAAAAATCATTCGTATTCACTCATTCATATACTCATGGTGGAGCAATTTCCATATTGTAGTTGCTGCCTACGTATTTTAAAGAAGGCTCGGTTACAGTTAGCTATCCCAAAAGCCCGTTAAACTTTATTTGGGAAGAACAAATAGAAGTTTGCCGAGTCACTACGATTACTTGGCCAATACCTCAGAGGGGGTATGTACCATACTAGCGTCATAGGTATTTAGCTCAATAATCCACCGCCTGGTCCATGAGCCATCCTCGTTTGTGGATGAGCGCGATCAGCAAAAGGATATATTCACCATTATCATCGTCATTATCATAATCATCGTCATAATGGTCACGTAGAGAGGAAACAAAGTGCCGCGTGGAATCTAGACGTAGCCTGTCTGCTGCCATCCTGGGTTATATCTTTGATGAAGCCGCTTTAGAGGATATTTATTGGTTCTTATAGCTCGCGGTTACTTTCATTTCTGCCAGATTTATTCTCAGTTTAAGTTTATTGCGCTTTTCAGTATTGTTTCTGCGTTCCTTAATCTCTGCCTCATCTCCAGGACCGAGCTGTTCTGCTTCTATCCCCACCCCAGGATGTTCACTTGGAGCTTTTTCTGTGCAGGGGAATCTGTCGCGTTGCTGTAGCTCTGGTACCATGGATTATACGAGTTATTCGCAAGAAGAATGCCATCCGGACTGAGATTCACACGATGGCATCTCATTTTCTACAAATAACCGAGGTCCGGCAGTTTGGACGTGACAGTGTTCTTTGCTGCTCATCAGGCCACGTCTGTATGCTGAAGTGTTCCACTTTTTCCACACATCTGGTGAGCTGCTTTAATCCCCCTTCCCCTTGTGTGTTGTAAAGATCTAGTCCATGGAATAGACGTCAGCCTAAGTCCAGTGGAAGTCTTGGATGTTTTCTCAAGTTGAGGTGCAGCGACCGTGTACTGCTGTAAAAGGCAACTATATAATGTGAGAATCCCCCCCCCCCAGACAGTTATCGCCACATTTGCAGGGTCATAGCATCCAACAGAGATCAAAATATGTCCAATAATTTGCAGAGTTGAACCCCTTGCTCCTAGCCCTCTACAGTGTGGCAAATGCTGTTGGTATGGATATAATGCCATTACTACTGACAAAAACCTTGATAATGAGATTCTAAATGTCGCACAATAACAATATTTTATTGCCTTAGTGAATTCTCCGCTCACCGCATTGTATCCTCTCCTCTATCCTTATCTACGCATGCACCCAAGTCAGGGTCATTTTAATCGAGCACGTGTACAGATTAAGCTACTTAAGCTCCCTTTACCAAAGCTGCATTGTGAACCAATTATATGACCTGTATTCTGGGATCAAATTCTGTCGAATATTAATCAGAACCGCTACTCGCAGGTATAGATAAACTGAAGTATCTCTGGAGCTACTTGACGAGTGAAGTGGAACGTGTGCTCGGTGGCCTGGCCACAAATAATCAAGGTGGTAGCACAGCTGTACATCTTCTGAAACAAAAAATCGGCTGTATGTCACCGATTGCTATTGACCACATGCACCGGCTTCAAAGCCTACGCGAAACCAGCTCATGCGAAGATATTGAAGGGCTTCAAAAGGGTATGAAGTATAAACCCACGTGATACTTCTTAATAATCTTGGCGTCGAAGAAAAGGAATAAGGAAATGTGGAGTGTTACTGGAAACGGCTATAATTCAGAGCCTTCCTTGAAAAATGGTGCTTCGTTATACTGAGCGCACCTTGAATCCGGCAAATGCAAGTAGCACTAGTTACTAACTCTATACGTTGTCTCCTTTTAGACGTCTTGATCTTTGAAATAATAAGCCGGGAACAGGCTATACTGGTTACTGCGAAGTAGAGTAAACGAGCCGTATATTCATAAAACGGCAATTTACTGAACGTACACAGAGCTCTGCTTACATGTTGGCAGTAAAACTCATTCCAGTGAGTTGAATCACATGCGGCAACAAAGATCACTTGATCAATGGATGCCTGCCCAGCTGAATTATAACATTAGACGAAGGAAAGAGAGAACACAACTTTATTGCAGACGAAGGAAAGAGAAAACTGCGTAAGTTGTGATGTTGCTTCCGCTGTTCTAGATGATCAACAGATCGAAATAATGCTAAACGTAGAAGATAGGCTGTGTGAAATGCAAAGAACAAGATACGACACTTAAGTGAGACACAGAATTGCGACGGAAGAGTAAAGAGACGCCAACAACTGTTTTCAGCTCGTGTATCTGGGCAGACACAATAACGAACGCAATGCTTCTGCAGACGGCGCAAGTTTGCGCTCAAGGCACTGGAAGAAGGCACCTCGTAAGAATGTTGCTTGGTGTGAGCACTCAACACACCTTCATTGTGGAAGATTTGTCTAAGAAGCTGCAAGCCTCTGTGGTCGCCGAAGAGGAGCTCACCATCTCGAAATTCGGAAGCTTCCCAGTGCCTTGCAAATATTATCGGAGAGTACAAGTGACGCTGCAAAGTCAGTACGATTCAAGCTCACTTGAGGTAAAGGCCATACAAGTTCCAGAAATATGCAAGGACTAAACTTTGACAAGGATATGTGTAAAAGATAAGGTGAAAGACAAATACTTACGTTTGGTTGAAGTCACTGTGTTTCGTATATCATCTGAGTCTGGAATATGCTTGCTAATTGGAGCAGACTCTTAATCACAGCTTGTAAGTTGAAGCATTAGGTGACTAGATGCCTTCTTGTAAACGTTCGAAATTATCATGGAATGGACACTTCACGTAAATACCATAAGCATACCCTAAGGTTAACAGGTCAGATACAGCAAAGACCTTAAATATATGCCGAACGGAAACCGAAGATTCCGAAAAACCGCTTTCTGTCTGGGAAGTCAGACATCTAGGACTGGTCAACGAAGATGGACGGTCGAAAGATGACAAATGCGTCCTGAAGAAGTCCGTTGAATTAACTCCTGGAAACTGTAAACACTGGGGAGTTGAATTGCCCCGACGCCACGATTGTTCGCAGATTAAAGACAACAGGGGTGCAGCCTTCAAGAAACCGAAATCTATAAAGAGAAGGTCACGTCGAGAACCCAAGTTTCGCAAGGAATATGCCACTGCGATAAGCAGCTACTAAAACAATGACTTTGCTGAAAAGGACACAATGGACAGTATGAGCGAGCATATGACGTACCTTATACGGAACACACCTAAATGAAGGGAGACGCCACAAAACTACGGTGATAGTACGGCAAGCACTCGATTCGTCTCCCCAGCAAAGCAGCCGAAGCAACAAGCCACCAAATAAATAAGCGAAGCATCCTAAGAGACAGTCGTCACGCAACTATATCGGCAAAGGAGACATACTCAACGAGTGCTGAGCAGCCTCCGTAACCGGTGACGACGAGAATACTTCCATGAGCTCCGTTCAGCCGAAGGCGATAGGACTAGAAGCAAAGAATCAGTGAGGAATGTAAACCTACAATGAAAGGAACTAAACACGATAAGACAGAGGTGAAAGATGGGTGAGTAACGGATGTTCTTGCGGACAGCGGCGGCCCAGTTCTTTCATGTGAAGTACGCGGCTCTGCTGGCACCACGCTGTGGATGTTGGTACAGATGTTGTATCACCTGAAATCGGCTAAACAAGTTTTGATAGCTCATAACCAATCGTCTTGAAACAAGCCAACTCGCGCAAATTGTGCAGCCGGGGGTTACACAGCTCTCAGTGTCGTAACAATATTATTTAGAAAGAGCGGCGGAAACAAAGAGGTGAAAAGTTAGCTTGAGCATGAGCGCGTTCCTGCAATACATTTTTTTAGTTTTTACCCAGCACAAAATAAACGAGGCATAGAGTTTGATACGACAATACCTAGAGAGGAATCTTGCGCTAGTGTATATGCGGGCTCCTTCAGCGGCGCTTGTACCCGCATGGGAATGATGGGAAGTACAGGCTTCGGATCTGCTTGGGATGGATCACGTTCTTGAGATTATCGATGCTTGTTTGCTGAGTGTAAAACAAGGTGATATAAAGTTATGTCTATTGAAACTTCCTTCATTTTTTCTACGCAAACTTTTATGCAGAAGGTTTTAGTGACTCGACGGTAAAACTGAAATCTGGACAAACTTCACGACAGGGTTTGCCTTGTTCTGCCATTTCGCTCTAGATTTGGCATCAAGATGTGATGAATTATGCTTTACATTTCAAAACAAACATTCTTGTTTTGCCCTCGAAATTACGCAATATCTATTTATAGAAATAACAGCACAGTATTAAGTGAGGAACGCTTAACGTTTTGTCTGCTGTCATGTCAGGTGCGTTTGTTCAAGTGGCCTGCCCCCAACGCACCTCTCGTTTTGTTGTGACGGCGCAAATTCACCGATTACAGGGAAGCAGGACGGGGCGTTGGATCCTTGCTAACATTGACCATGTGGTATCTCCTACGGGTAACGATCCGGCTGTCATCCCCCCCAACATCAGAAAGAAATTCCTCATAAAACCACTGCCAAAGAACATGTTGGCCAGCCATCACGACGGTAGAAGGAAAGCGAGGGCCAAATTCTTGCAAAAAACGTACGCGTCCAACCCAACCGTTGCGTACGTTGACGCCGCCCAATACCGAGAGTTTACTAAAGCATATGCAATAAGCGTAATCACTCTCCCCGGCAACAACGCAAATTCACCTCAAATTAAAGCGGCTGCTTCTGTCCGTGTGCTTAATACGACAGAAGCTGAGGAAGCGGCGATAGCGCTAGCAGCAGCATCCGGATTCACCACTATACTCAGTGACTCAAAGGCTGCTATATCCAACTTCGCACGTGGCATTGTGGCCCC